TCAAACGTGACGGCTTATTACCAAGAAGCGTGTGTGTTACCCTCCAAATTTGGAGGTGGTCCCCCTCGCTGAAGCTTATTTTAAATGTTTACATCTATGAGCAGATACGGCCATTTCTGCACATATCTACCCATATTTGCCCATATCTGCACGCTTACTTGTACTCCCCCCGCAAAGGAAGGGAGCGGTGAAACTGGACGACCTGTTCATCAGTAACATCCCCAAAAACGACCCGCACAAATTTGTAAAAACCGAAGGGAGACAAATACTCGCCACTGACAGATCGACAGTTTCCAATGCAGCATATGGGACTGAGACACGATTTGCACACTCCCACCTCATGCGAGTCAATGAAAAAGGTCTGCTCATTCTGTCGACACCTGGTTGTTAATAGAATTTCCTCGTTCAGATCCTTCTGGAGGTAGTACCCTGAGCTGTGAAAATGTTGATAATTCTGGTAATACATATTGCTGCCCGTTTGGCATTGGGCTGTATTACCCATTTCATTGGTACCTCCCGATGCGGCCTCTTTTTTATCATTTGAAAAGGAACCCCGTACGAAATGGTTCATTCTTTCCCCATTTGTGACCTCAGCAGGTATCTCCCCCTTCTGCAAAATGTCCTTCCCCAAGTGTGTTAAAACTCCTAAGGCTAAATTGGAGCCCTTAATGGCAATATGTGAATTTCCATTTCCCCCCCCCACCAAACAGTGATAGTTAGATTTATTCACATACGCCAAACTGATGACAGCAAAAATTGCCCAACATGAAGGCAAGACTATGCTGACGTTCAGGTATATATTCAAATTATTAATCTGCTCCTTTTTTCTGTTAAAAAAAAATAACTTTCTGTTCCCCAGAGACGTAACGGATAACGCGAACTGGTAATCTTTCCTCTCTTGGTATGGATAAACGTGCACATCAAAAAATTCTGTAATTTCAAAGTGGACATACTTCCCCTTGTCTGAACCAATGGAAGACGTAGATTTATCACTCAGGGAGTCCACGCTGCCGTTATTGGCGGCTGTTCTTCCAAAGAGGTTTGCAAAAAGTAGGTACCAATAAGCAGAACCGGGAGAAACAGCTAACTTATCATAAGCAGGGCATGTATATTCACACATAATTTCAGTGACAGATAAAGGCTTCGTCACCATTTTGAAGAAACAGATATAGGGAAATGGGTTAATAAACAAGCTACTATTTCCTACATATTTTATATCATCAAAGGAGCAAAAATTATGATGTCCCTTGAAGCAGCCATTTATAAAGTAAAATTGCCCCTTTAAAGTTCCAACGACTGTTAGGTAGTACCACCCCCTCTTCACATTCCTGATGCTAAATCCAGAAGAGTGGTAAAAGGTTTGGCCCTGCTTCTCCCCCCTTTTGTAATTCTCAACGCATCCGATAACTAGCCTATCGCTAAAAACGCTTATATGTGCATCCTTTTCTCCACTAACTATCGAAGAAAACGAAACGTTTTCTTCTATGGGCAGGAACACCCAAAGGGATAGCGTATACCCAAACGGTTTTACTAATTCGTTATATATGGATAAAGGCGGGTCAACAATTAGGTTATAAAATTTGGACAAATCGCATGCATAGCAAAGGAGGTCAGAAAAAATATTGATTCCGTAAATTTTGGGAGCGTCTTCCTTTCTTCTCACTTTTTTCAAGTACACATTGTAGCCATACTCTTCCTTATCATCTATGTGAATTATTTTTTCGCATTTCCTGTGGAGGTTTCCACATTCCTCTACTTCACCATTTGGTCGATTCGTCAACCCTAATTTGTTTCCTCTGTCGTGTAACTCTTTACTGTTTCTTTCGTACAAATGTGCCCTTGGGGGGGGAGTTTTCCCAGGACTGTTTCCCCTCCCTGGAGAAGTGTCACCTGTGTACTTAGAAACCAAGCGTAGCTGATACATTCTCACTCTGTAATTCAAGTCATTGGTGAAGGCAACTACCCCCGTCTTCGCCTTCTGCGATTGTGCAAAGTATATGAAAAATTCCAAAACCTGCATGGATTTATCTCTGACATCTATGCCTTCTATTACTTGGTCTTTCATCTCCATGAAGAGGTTGTCTCCAATCATTTCTCTTCCTTTGACTTTCTTCACAATTTCGTATCTTCTCTTTATCTCTTCCTTTTTTAAAAACTCGAAGATTTTAAAAGAGGAACATAATCCTATGTTATTATTTCCAAAGCAGGAATTTCCAAATATGCTCATCTGTAATTGTTTCTCTAAATTTAGCACTTCGTGCGAGACGCTGTTCATGTACTTCCCATTTATGTAGTAAATTAATCCACTAGCACATTTGGTTATATTTAATAAGTTCCACTCATTTTGCTTCACTATGGAGTTTATTTTATTCCATTTGGCAGTCTTCTCGCATTTTATGTAGACGTTCCAAGGGTTTTCCTTCTCACCACTCTTCGCCTCGTCCATGGGTCCTCTCTGCCCCTCACTGTGCAGTTGTCTAAAGTAACGGCTTAACCTGCGCTTATCACTGACGTGTATTTCTATATCCTCAATTTTGTTTCCCATTCTCGAAATGACGAATGGGGAATTTCCTTCCATGTCACAAAAGAGGAAAGTCTTTTCCCGTCCATTTGTGGCTCCTCTTGAAGCAAGAAATAGCCACACCTCTATGGTGCACTCTGTAGGTATAACCACTGGGGGGGTTAGGACCACTAGTGCATTTCTATCATGAAAATTCATTCCCTTCAAATCTCCTGTAATTCCTACGTCACCTTCGTAACTGTTGTGAGTAAATATTTCCATTTTGGAATCCTCCACACGTTCGTAACTTAAATAACTCCGCATGTTTGTGTTCAACTTCTGGACACTCTCTTCGGTTAAGAAATTGTCGTGTTTTTCTTCCGTAAAATTTGTTTCGGCTTTTCTATCCCCCTCCGAAGCTGTCTTTCTCCGTACTTTGTCCTTTTTGTGCACACAGAGGAACTCCCCTTTCTTGTTCAAAAATTCTCCACCAACCGAAATGACCCCTCCATAGCAGTCAATCTTAAAGTAGGTCACTTTTTCTTCATAATTTTTCAATACATGTACATTAAAATATTCCTCCCCCATGTTTTCACACGAAATTGTGAAATTTCTTCTTTGTCTTTTTTCCTCTTCAATCTGTGTCAGTTCATTTTTGTCCAGAAATTCCCAACAGCGTTTTTCTATGCACACTGCCAAAGCGCTACAGAAAACTTTGCAAAATTGTTCATTTTTTCGTTTTCTTTTTTTTTCTTTTTCTTCCTTTTCTTTTCTCTCCATTTCTTTCGATCTATCTCGAGTCACCTCCGAAAAGTTTGTTAACTCCTTCACATGTAAAGAGTCCCCTTCTTTAATGAGGCTCATTAAATAACTTTTCGTGGCAGGCTTTAGGTGCTCAAATTGTCCATAAAAATCTATTTCTATGACCCTGCTGCTTATGTAATCTTCTATGTTGAAAATTGGTTCCCTTGGATCCCTATCTCCCTGTTGAATTTTCCCTCGTGAGGATGGATCACCCACGATGTTCTCCTCCAGTTCTGCCCCCCTCTCCAAATGTTCGTAATACCGCCTCATATACATATTGCTACTGCTCTTGTATTGCTCCCCCCATAGGTTTAAAACCCCACTGCATAGGTACTTTTCGCACGTCTGTGTGTAGTGTATCCCTCTGTACATCTCGCTCACATCTGCCAATAAGCAATGCACGTAAATTCTGCAAAGTTCCTTGGAGTATATGCGGTTAAGGTCAAATTCAAGGCGGAGTCCATCTCCCACCTGATTGTCTCTCCTTCCTGGGGCGCCTGCAGAAGATTCGAGTGGAGGGCTTGATGTGCATATCGAATGGGATTCTCATCTCCCATGGGAAATTCTTCCCACGTAGGCACACCCTACATATGCACATTTTGTCCCATGCACCGTTACCTCTTCTCCTGTTGCTTAAACCAGATTGAGTTTTTCTACTCGGTGTACAACCCCATACCGAAATGGCTAGCTCGCCTGGGTAGCTCTCCGTCTTCTTAGTATGGGTAAATCGTGGACTTAAACACGCTTGCTGATTTGCCGCATCTACATTGAGCTCCTCGATCTTCCCATTTATATATCCATCTGGGTGTTTTCCCTCGCCTGACACTTCGAAAACTATAGTTTCGTCTTCCACCCCTCCGGGTCCAACCATATTAAAATTGCCTTCCCCTTCTTGGTCTCCATACCCGTTATTAATAGCGTCACAAATGAGTAGTGTGTCCCCCGTAGTCGTCTGACGGGGGAGGTAGTAATTTCCCAACCCCCCAATAGGAAGAATCCCAAAACAGGGTCTATACCTAAAATAGTAATCAATTATGTACTTCATATATCTGCATTTGGCTAGCACATTTGAAACGTGAAATAGAACAGGAGACAGGTTATAGTTTACGTCTTGCAGATTTCCGAAACTGAGAATGCTTAACCCCCATGCGAAAATGATTGCCGACTCGTCGCAGTCGTTTATGCGTCCGTATGCGCATTTGCTTCCTCCATCGCTTCCTCCTCCGCTTCTTCCCCCTTTCGAATTTTTCTTTTCTCCTTTTTTCCTTCTCTCCAGAAGGGCTAAAAACTTATTCGTGTATTTGAGAAAGTTCTTCAAAATGGCTGGCACATTGTTCATTGTGGCGAAATAATTCCTCTTTACTATTTCCAAACAGCCGTCTAAATCGAGGCTGGGGAATTCCTTCTCTAGCGTTAAGCTGATCAACATAGACAAGCACTTCTCGGGTTCATCGGATAGATCTACAATATTTTGAAGAAATATAATCCACTTTTTGGATATTTTTAGTAATTTGTACCTTCTGATAAATTTATTTCTTTCCTTCTTCTTAACGGAGTTTTCATTTTCTGACTTGGGAGCTGCTTCACCAAAATGAACCTCAAAACTTTTGCTGTTCTTCAGGATATTATTTATCAACATGATACTCCTTTTTTCATTTTTCAAAAAGTATTTCTCCTCCATTTTGTGATTTCCTTCTTTCAATTTTACCACATGATTCCTATTTGTTTCTTCCTGTTCTTTTCCGCTTGTTTTCCTTCTTCTCCATATGCCCACCCATTTTGCCTTCCCTATCCTCCTTCTGATGCCGCCAATTCTCAACCATTTTTTATTGTCCTTCTTCAGGTTATTCCTTCTTCCCAATTTTATGAGCAGAAAGAAAATGGTCGCATAAATCAACCCATTGCATAGCAGTGAAATGGTTGTCAGCACCCCCAGGAAATTTCTTGCATGCACGTAGCTTAAAAAGGTGTAGTATGAGAGCGAAATGGTGACATGCACAAACATGGAAAAGTAGAAAAAGAATTTCTCAGTTGTGCGTTTTTTAACTAATTTGCATACCAGATTTACCACTTGGATAGCACAGGATGGGGTAGCGTGGTGGTCCTGTTTGTCACCCCCTGTTGGAGTTCCCCGTCTGTGTTCATTTGTGTCCTCTTCTTTGGCCTCTACTGCGCCATCATCTTCGCTCTCTTCCTCGTGTTTCTCCGGCCCCTCACCATGTGGCACACCCACTCCTCCATTTTTTAATTCCACCTTTTCTGCTTCTCCGTCATTGTTATCACTCTTCTCCGTGGCGACGTCGGATTTCTTGGCCTCTTTTTTTCTCCCTTCTTCTTCCTCATAAACTTGGAACGCCCTCACAATATGCCCCACATTTCCCCTATTTCCTAGTTCGTCCAGTTTTTCTTCCCCCGCGCAATCGTCACATTGGTAGACGCATAAAAATGTAATTAACGTATAGAGAGAAAACAACACGGTAATGAGAACAAACTGAAACGTGTGCACATTATTGTTATATATACCATTCTTATGATTAACAATTAGAGATGCCTTCACGTTGTTAAAAAATCGTTTGTGGAAAAAAAACAAAAAGAGCAGCAAGAAAATGTCATCCGGAGGGCTAAGCGTACTTACCTTTGCTTTTAACACACATAAGACGTCTAAACTAAGAATATATTTCTTCAGAAAAAATAGAAAGTAGTGGAAATAATTAACAAACGTATTGTATAGTATGATTATCCATATTTTTACATAATATTTTCGTCTCATTTTTGTGCACTCTAACGAATCGTCCACTATCAAAAAGTCGCCTCTCCTCTGTTCATCATAATTACAAAAATAAAAAAAAACACATAACCTTATTATTTCCAAGTACAAATATTCATGGTATAAAATGAAAATATGCGCAAAATATTTGCCACTGTGTTCTCTTTTGCGCTTGTTCTTTCCTGTGAGCGAACATGTGTCCACGTCAAGGGAGGGAGTGCTATCCACCCCACCCTCACTCGAGTTATCCTTTTGCCAATCTTCACCTTGCTCTACAATGACAAATCGGAGGCAAATATAGAGGTTAATATAGACACATGTCATTAGACATATTTGTGTACTCTCATAAGGGTGAAAAAATTCCCTTTGTTCGCTCTACGTGAAACACCAAAAGGTCTTCCCCCCTTTAGGCTCAAAAGTGACTATTAAAAAAGATCAAAGAGAAGTAGTTTTTTTCCTCATAAAACTAGTAGGGGAAAAAGAATTCGTCCGTGTATATGTGACATCGATGATGGACCCATTTCTGTCACATTTTTAAGACCTGAGTAGAAGTATATTACTCTGGGCGCTGGCTCTTTTCTTCCCTCCATTTTTCGTGTCTTACTTGTTAACAGGCGAAGGACAATTGTTCCCAAAAGGGAGAATACTAAAAAGAGCAGAGGCAAGAATAGCAAAAAATGAACCTTCTTTTCAATCCTTTCTCCGTTTGTACCCCTCTAAAGTGAAAAGAAAAGAGTTTTTTTTGCGAGGGCATGCAAATTGTCCCCATAGGTAGAGGAATCTCTTGGCACTTGGGGCATCTAGCTTCACTCCATTATGCTACATTGTTCTGCGTTGTCTCGTATCATATGATCACTTTTTTTTTTTTTTTTATTTCCCTCATAAGAATGTGTCGTTTTACCGCGAATATACAGTCTAGGACTTCATTCAGCGGCACTCCGATCGTGAAGAAGTGCAGCGCGTCTAAAAGGAAGTGACTATAATTGGAATTCACGTATCTGTATGGGAGGATGGGGAACGGGGGTGGAAAAACCAGGATTCACAAAAAGGGTACATGAAAGAGTGCGGTTAAGGCAAATTTCAGACGCCAAAACGGAGTAACGTGTCTCAAAATAACATACACATTTATGCGGGCAGTTTGGCACAGTTTCACAAACCAACTGGTCCGAATTCACCCTGTGAGCAAAGTTCCCACCTCAGGAGGGACATAAACTGCGTATATTTAATAACCAGTCTTATTATTTTCATTTCTCTTTCCCTTTCTATACAAGTGATTATTAAAATGCTTAGAAAGAAGCCCAGGGCGATGAAGTACAGCGAAACAGCGTACGTTGCAAAACTACAAAGCACGCAGGGACGCTTCACTGGGGTTACGAAATGGTATCTGAAATTTTCATCACACTGCAGTTGGGAAATTATCCCCAAGGAGGGGAAGAGGGGGGGAGGGGGTCAAATATGGATGTACTTATGTACGTATAGGCCATACTTAGCACATTTACCCGTGGCAAAAAAGGGAACAAACTAAATGCGCAGGGTTTCGGCATTACGGCAAAAGAGGATAACTATTTTTGTGCCATTTTTTTTTCTTTTTCTTTCGTACAATTTTGCACTGGATTAATTTATTCCCTTCCAGGCAACTTTTCCCTTCTTTATGATTCAAACAAACATCTTCTTTAAGACAGGCAATTTGAAAACTATACACTTGATCGGTTCGTACGTTCCTACACAGTTCTACGTACTCTTCTCCCCTTTCCTTCGTGCACATATTTTTAAAGGACCACACATTTTCTCCGTTGTCACATAATTCGAGCGCACTACATTTTACGCACCTGCCGTCGGTGGTGTCTACCTTGAAGC